CTTCTGGAAACTGGAGAGGTTCCAGATGACAACAGCCATGAGCATTCACACTGTGAGCACATTTCACTTCTCAAGGACAGAACAGGGACTCGGAGAGATGCAAGTGGCTTTTCTAAGGCCGCTCAGTAATAAGGTCTATTTGGCAACAGAGTTGTGTCTTATTTGTCTCTTCACCCCTACTGGCTAGCACTGTGCAAGGCCTGCACCCCGTATTCAGAAAACGCTTGCTGAATGCATCCTGACGCTGACTGCATGTGAATTTGCTTAAATTTCTTTCCCTGCTAAACATTGATGATTTTGAAATTGGACTTTAGGAAAGATTCCATTTGTTTATAAAAATCCTTAAACCATGGTTTTCACATATGTTACTCAGAGCGTAAGGGATCTGTGGCTAGAACTCAGGGGACAGGGAAAGCAAGCTGTGCAGTGGGCATAGCCGAGGGGGGGTGAAGAGAGGTGTTGGGTGCAATCTGATAGCCCCCCTGCCGTCCGTTCTCATAAGGATGTATATATAAGGGGTTTCAGAAAGGTGAGTTCTACTGCTTTGAAATGTTTGAAAAAATGACTGGTTGAAGATAATGAGAAAGAATTGGAATATTCCAGATTAGGCACTGAGGATGGCACGATGTGGTGTATGTGAAGACTCGCATTGGCAGTTCATTCACGTTTCGGTGGTAACACTTTCTATAGAAATCTTTAGGCACTTGCACAGGAACATGTGTGAAAGTTACAGACACTCACTGGCATCTAGCCACAGCGAGGGGTTGAAACTCCAGGCCCTCTCAAACTCTCTAGCCCACAGCCCCAGGCAGGCAGCCCCCTAGACCAGGTCTGGCATCCCTGGCTGAGAGTTGGCACGTCTGGAAAGTTGACCCGTCTCTGGCCCAGGAACTGCTGGGGCAATCCAAGAACATCGCTGTCCCAAAGGCTGCAGGGGAGCGGGGCCCGTCCGAGTTTGTTCAGGTACACAGGGAGCTGGTGGCTGGGCCAGGAGCAGGGTCCCCACCCAGGGTCTTCTGGCTCAGATTCCAAAACAAGCTAGGAGGGACATTTCTGCTCTGGAAAGGGAGATGGGGGAATCCTTCTGAGGCCTTTTTATACTTCATGACTTTTTATGTCCTTAAGACAGCCACAAAAAATGTCTCTCAGCTGCATCTTCTTTGCCACTTTTCCCACTGATTTGGCTTCTGGAAAATTGCTGGTGTATTTGCGTCTGTGGTCTAGAGGCCTGGCCCCTGGTGCCTAATCCAAAGTGCGACCTTTGGCATCAAAAGTATAAGAGGTCTGTGTGCCCTTACAGTGTTCCAGGGCAAACTTCTAATACTCCTAAAAAAACTAATCAACTGAACGAGCCGAGATCAGAAGTGTGTAACTATCAGGAATGTGGTAGATTTCATGTCGAAAGTACAGGAAATCTATGTAAAGAGAGGAGCCTAAATTATCCTTTCCTATTAGACCCGGAGGGCCTGTGGGTTGCCTCTGGTGTCCTCCCCCTCACTATCTAGGGGCACTCCATTCCTCATGCAGCTTTCTTACATCTCCCCGGGTGGTGCATATTCTTTAATGTGGTTGCCTCAGTGCAAGTTTCAGGGTTGATTCATCGTAGACTGCTAGAGTGTCAGCCAAAAAGTGCCCTTGGAGAGTTTTGAGTGCAACCACCTTAATTTAAAAACAAGGTCCTTTTTGGCACCTTCCCCCAAGTACCTCTGCATGGAATTTGATGTTGTTAACCCATTCCCTGTTCTCTCTGTAAGAACTAGACGCCATTGTGTTCTAATGGGGGAGACCACAGAGGAGGGATCAGTCAGTCATGCGCTCCAGGTCACATTGGCTTTGTGCAGGGAAGTGACAACGTCTGAACTCCAAGCCCTCATCAGTGCTTGTCCACTGGGCCCTGTGGTTCAGCAGAAGGTACCAAGAGGAATCTCAGAAGCATCATCTTGACGTCACAGATAGCTCTGGGGCCAACGGGTTTGTCAGCAGGTCCCACCAAGGAGTTGGGAAGCTTCTATCGGCTCCAAATTCACATGAGAGAAAAACAAAATTCCATCATAATGTTGACCATCTGTGGATGAGGAGGATTTTCAAGAGAGGCCACTGGAAAGGAGGGTGAGGAAAATAAAGGCTTAAGGGAGCATGATTTGAAAGGGATCGCTGGTCAGCTAAGTGACATAGGATACAGCGTAGCAGTATGTTATTCTAGCTCGCCGAACAATTTTAAGCTCCTTTGTTTTTAATCTTATTTTATTGTGGTAAGAACAGTTAACATGAGCTCTCCTCTCTTAGCAAATCTTTAAGTGTACAACACAGTATTGTTAACTGAAGGTACTTGCTGTACAGCAGATCTCTAAACCTTATTCACCTGGTAAACTTAAGACTTTAGGCCTGTTTATCAGTAACTCCCCATTTCCCCTTCCCCCAGCCCCTGGAAATGAACATTCTGTTCTCTGTTTCTATGAGGTTGACTATTTTGGATATCTCATGTAAGTCGAATCATGCAATATTTGTCCTTCTGTCACTGGCTTATTTCACTTAGCATAATGTCTTCGAGGTTCATCCATGTCGTCACGTTGCAGAATCTCCTTTTTAAACATTGAATAATGCCTCATTGTATATATAATCCACACTTTCTTTATCCATTCATCTGGTTATGGACATTTAGGTTGTTTCAATATCTTGGCTATTGTGACTCAAAACCACAATGAGGTATCAACTCACATATGTCAGAATGGATATTATCAAGAGAACAAAGAACAGTAAGTGTTGGCAAGGATGTGGAGAAACTGGAACCCTTGTACACTGTTGGTGGGAATGTTAAATGGTGTAGCCACTGTGGAAAACAATATGGAGGTTCCACAAAAAAACTAAAAATAGATCTGCCATATGATCCAACAATCCCACTTCAGGATGTTGAAGAAATATTAACACTCCTATGTTCCCTTAAGCTTCTTTTTCCTTTATAACAATCTGTTTCAAAACCATGTCATAATTAACTAAGGAGTGTATCAGCCTTCTTTTATTATGGTATAATCCTGAAACCCATGAGTATGAAAAGCTCCCCTCATTTCCTTCAAATCTTTCTTATGTACCAAGAAAAAAAAAGAAAGAAAAAAAAAAGGAAAAAATAAGAAAAAAAAATAATGGGATGGTCCTTAGGATGCATATTTAGTTGAACCAATAGTCAATCTAAATTAGTTCCAAAAAGCAATATTACTGCCCAATACAGATACTATATGACTTTTGGGGGGGACATTTGAAAGGTAAACATGAAGGTTATTTCAAAAAGAGTACTCGTAAAACAGCACTCTGATGAATGAGACTGATGATGGTCTTTAAGAATTTCAAAATGTTACCTTTTTTCCCCCGGAATCTGTAACTTGGCTTCGTTCATATTTTTCTAAGTTATTCTTACAGTTGACAATAAACTTACATTTTTCCAATGATCTCTAGCCCAAAATAATAAACATTAACTTGAAATGATCTCATTGTAAAACAACTTACTAAATTGAAATGACGGGACTTATTGTGCCCCCTTATAGACAATGGACCTTAGAGGATTTACCTTATAAACCACTAAAACTTTGTCATCTTCTTACTTTATTAGGAGTCATATAATAATGTGTATTAGCCTCTATTATAGTTTCTTTTATAATATAAATTAATAAAATTTTTTAAAAATTATTTTTACTTACAAGTTTCGAAAAATATACAGTTTTACAAGCATTGTGCAAAAATAGATTTAGAAGTGATAAATACACAAAAAGTGACAATGAAACATTTAGACAGAACACAAGCCTTGTTCCACACTGCTACTTAAATGTACTGTCTATTTAAAAGTGTAAGTATCCAAAGAAAGATCGCAAACATTGACTTTAAGGTCCTTATAATGTTGAAAGGGAAAAGGAAACTAAAGTATGCAGCATTATCTCAGGATTTGAGTGGGAAAGACTTTGCCACAGATATGCTCCTTTCATTGGGTTAATTAAAACTCTAAAAAATGAGGGAAGATTATAAATTTGTTCATCTAATGTAGCATGGCACCTTTAAAAAGATGAAAGGATCACCAACCTTTTCTACCTTAAAAATTAGTGATTGTTTGCATTCCTCTGCTCCCACACCTCTTTAAAAAGCAAAAACACAGAAGACTTCCAGTACAGTCCTCCCTAGGTATCCATCAGTACAGACACAACCATCAGAGGCATAACTACCAAGTACATGTCAGCCACAACACATCGTTTCCACACCCCTAACCCGGATATTTTAGCTCTGTGGTTGGTTGAATCTGTGGATGTGGAACCTGCGGATACAGTAAGTCCGAATCTTAGCCTGAGCGTGCCCAGTGAATATCTTGCAAGGAAAGGATGTGTCAGTTACTACAGCTGCTGTACTCCTTTGGCTGAGTCCTTTAACATTCTTCTTCCTACCAGTAAAAACCATCTTGTAATTCAAATTGGTGAATTTTAGCTTAGAGAAATAGCATTTTTAACTTTCATCTCTCTTTTAAATGGATGTTTACATGGATTTGTTTCCGTGTTTTCTATAGGCCATATTCCAAACATTTGTGGCTAAATCCAACACAAGTGTTTCAGCCAGGAAGAAGCATTTCAGCAACCATTTTGTTAAAAATAACATCCTGGTCATCAAGCTATGCAGAAGCACCACTTCTATAACAATTAATAAAGATTAGTGTAAAGTACAGTAACAAAATACTGCCCTAAAGCTGGAGATGAGATACAACAGAAGAGGAATTAAGCATTAGTAATTCTTGCACGTAACGTAAGGACAGTACATTTGATCTCATAGAGGGTGTTTTTTGATGTTCAAGGAGAAGATAGGAATAGGAAAAGCTTGGGGAGGGAAGATGGAAGCAGCATAATAAGTATTTGCTTTTAATGAAGTGAATGTAATGACACTGAAGAATAGGAAGGTGACAGACACATCAATATATATTTTTCTTATGCCCACTCTCTTCTTTTGCTGCACCCAAGTCAACAAACATTCTAGGTCTGCTCTACTGTCACAGAAACACGTTTTTCATATCCCTTCTTGTTCTCCTGGTACAGCGTAGCGGCCTGGCTGCTGGCTGGACTGTTGGGACTGGGATTATCCAACAGAGACTGTGAGGATGTTAAAGTGGAAGACACATCATAAGTCAGACTCCAATGATTCTGAAGTATGTCCAGACATATACTACTCTCTGTATAGACATTCAGATGCAACATCTTAGAGACAAATCCAATTGTAGGTGGTTTATTTGGGCATACCTCAGTGAATTCCATTGAGTTGGCCAAAAAGTATATATGGTTTTTTTCTGTAAAATAAAAGTCACCTTTTTCATTTTCACCAATTTTATTGATTTGGATATTTTGAGTATGTCAGCCATCTCCCATGTGGCATACTGTTGATCATTCTCAATTAATCTCTCAATTTGATGGCTATCAACTTCAACTGGTCTACCCAATCATGGAGCATTGTCCAGCCAGAAATCTTTAGCACAAAACTTCACAAACCACTTTTGACACGTTCAATCAATCCCAGCACCTTCTTTATTAATTGCACAAATCTTTTCTTGCATTCTAGCTGTGTTTTTTACCTTTCTTTAAATAATAAAGCATCATATGCCAAAATTATGGCTTGTTTTCTTCTATCTTCAATATTAAAATGCTACACAAAAATTTACCAATATTGATAAGGTTTTTTTTTTTAAAGTGTGCTGATATGACAGCTGTCACAATACCATCTAGCAAAAATTTTTTGAATGACGTTAAAGACAACGAAGTGCTATTAGAGCCATCTTACGGAAGAACCAAACGAACTTTTTGGCAAACCCAATATTATAAGCTTACATTGTCTATCCTCAAACGAGATCCCTTCAGGCCCCAAAATGACCGCATCCCAAACCATTATGTTCTTGGACTGAGCCCCACTGACTTCGGCTGGAGGATCCTCCTGTAACCTCCTGAAGTCCCACACGAAGCACCACTGAGACAGAGTAGACATACGAAGGGGATTCCAAAAATCCAGAATTATCTTCTGGAGAGCAGGTCCCTTGGAGTACAGGCTTTTCCCTGCTAGGTGAGTCATTTGGGAACCCATCTGTATCAGTGTACCAGCTGCCATTGTTGTGAGGAGCTGTATTCGGCTGAAGTTTTTTGAAGGCTCTTTCAATGTGTTTGCCCATTTCATGAGGGGTGATTTACCAGGGCACCTGCCTACACCGCACTGAGTGCTGAGCAGTTTTTGACCAAAAATGGCATGACACCCATGCTTCACCTTCCATATTCACTTGATTTTGCCCCAAGTGCCTTTTTTTTTTTGTTTCCCTGGATAAAAAAAGTACTTGAAATATTATGCCAATGTGGAATAGGTGAAAGAAAGAAAGAAACAAACAAACAAGAAAATAGCAGAAGTACTAAAAGACATCAAAATCGACAACTTCAAAAACTGTTTTGAGCAGTGGAAAAAAGTCTCGATAGTTCTGTTGCATCAAATGGAGAGTACTTTGAAGGTGACTGAAGCTCTAACATGTAAGAATAAATACACAACTTTTTATAAATAAATTCCGGTTTGGGGGGGTTCCCCCCTTGTATCTGGAGCAGAGTCAGGGTTGGGGCATCCGCCGAGGTATCAGGCCCCAGCCGAGGGCAAGGAGGTGGAGGAAGCTGAAGAAGCCGAAGAAGCCAGGGAGGAAGCATCCAGAGGCACCGTACTGCCCTTCTGAAATCGAGGGTCTAATAAAACTTTATTCCCTGGACCCATGGCTCAGTTGGTTTGAGCACCGTCCTGTGCACCATAAGTTTGCAGGTTGATCCCTGGGCAGGGCACATTCCTGGGTTGAGTGTTAGATCCTGGTCGGAGAAGGTACTGGAGGCAACTGATCTATGTTTCTCTTTCATATTGATGTTTCTCTCTCTCCTTCTTCTTGTCTCTTTAAAATCAATAAACATATCGGGCGAGGATTCAAAAAAATACTTTCTTAAAGGCAAATTATAAATGTTATCAAAAGACAAGGTATTTTAGGAAAAAATGTTTATAAAAATTTACATGTAAGGATGTTCACAACAAGGAAAGAAAAGAAAATCATTATGTATTACTGTTGAAGAAAGAGAGTTACAAAATAGTACATGGGATATCTTAATTAAAGCGCTTCTGGCTATAGCGGTGTGGATATCTTTACCAAGAAGGAGAAATCTCGTGAATCAAGGAGACACAGGAACAGGGGAGTTATTAGGAACCGCAGGTGCTATTCTGTCGATATTTTGGAGGTCCATCACCTCTTGCCTCGGTTTATGGAATAAAGCCACCACCTCCGGCCAGTGTTTCAGCCAGATGCTGATCTTCCTAGGATGTCGGTATTGCCAGCTTTAATTTCCAGGAGAAAAAAATATGATTGGGCCACCTGGGGTTACTTAGGGAAACCAAGGCTAAAACAGTCCAGTGCTAGGTGTATTGGGACCAGGGTCAGAAGTAGAGTTACAGGCTGGGCAGGATGGGTAGACTGCGCAGTGTCTCATCTACTGTGGATTTCGTGTGTGCATGCATGCATGTGTGCATGCATGCCATGTATTTACTCAAGCAGCAGTGAATGTAAGGTATATACCCAAATGCTCTCACGTTATTACAAGGTGTTTTCTTTGTGTTAGGTCTGGCAGATTTATATTTCCATCTTTTAAATTTTCTGTAATAAACATGATCTTATTTTTTAGAATAAGGAAAACATTTTAAATTATGTTTAGTAGAATTAATTTTCATGATGGAAAAGGGTATTGCACATTTATTATAGAATGGAAATGCAGAAACAGGAACAAATAACTCAGAATTACACCAGTATGAGACGAGCAGAATTTCTGGCATATTTCCTTCCCAGACAGTGCATATTCTTTATATAATGGAGAGCATAATATATTTTTAAATTTTTTCTACCTTTTTGTTGTTGTTGTTACATGGTAAAAGCCGAATCTTTCTTTATAGTGTTTGCAAACACTTTAGTGTCTGTGTAGTGTTTTATAGTCTAGGCTTTATTTACCATTTCTCCAGTGTTAACATTCAGGCATTTCTAATTTCTCACTTGCTTTGGAGACTGCTAAAGTAAACATGGGCCTTTGCATTTTAGACACAAATAATCTTTCATAAAGTCTGGTGACTAAAAGGAATCCTGGAACCTACTAAGAAAGATTTACTTTTCTGACGGAGCTTAGAAGCCAGTCTCTTCTCCCGTTGTATTTCTTTCTTTTCTCTTATCTCCTTCTGCGTTCCCGCTGAGGTTACTGCTGTAGATGTCCTGCTTGGTGCCCTGCACACTGAGCATCAGGAAGCCACCTACAAGCTGGACACTTACACCCCACGGAGAACTCATCCAGGGGCGAGCACTTTTGCCCAAGCAGCTGGCTGCGGTGGCAAAAACAATCTGACTACAGCCCCAGACTTTTCCCTCTTATTGAGTTATTCCTTTCACTCTCAGGTCTCTGGGGATCTGGGATCCAGAGAGGAGTAAGCAATGAAATGTACAGGTAATAAAAAGAAAGTTACAAGAAATCATTTTACCGTTCTCTCTCAGTGTATTTCTTTCAGTAGAAGGTACAGACAGATGTGACATTTTCCTTTTATCCTGATTTTTATCCTGTGATCTGGTGTAGGATCTAATGAATGGTGAATTTCCCACCAGACATGAATAGAAATTTAAAGTAGAAATGGGATATTTGAGAGCCAAGAGCATCCTTAGAAATAAATCCACTATAGAACTATGAAAGTTTAGGAATGGAGAAGGTATGTGTTATTTCATAGCTAGTCACTGACTGGAAAAAATCAGCCTGAAGTAGCTGAGACTTAAATACGTATTTCATTGCATCGAGATGCCATTGATTTTAAGAACTACTTTATTTTAAATGCCATTAAGAAAGAAAAGAAAATGCTGCCAACTGAACTATAACCCCAGGCTTTCTTAACCAATTAAATTTTTAGGTTTATTGAAATAGCTCATTTATTCTGATTACATTTTTGTAATACATCATTTTTGTGGTATAAAAGTAAAATAAATGTTCACATATTATGAAACTTCTTCACATCCAGCCTCTCCCTTTTCTGAATCACTTTTTGACTCAAGGTCATTGAATTCTGGGATTTTGCATATACCATTGTCCCCTTTGCTATCCAAAGGATTAGCTATACTGTACTTCTTTCTTCTCCTATCATAGTTTTCTTTTCTTTTTTTTTTTTGACAGCCTTACTGAGATATAATGTATGTACCATACAATTTGCCTGTTGATAGTATCATTTTTAGTACATTCATAGAGGTGTAACTATCACCACAATTAATTTTAGGACATATTTAACACCCTCAAAATAAACCCTTTCCCCATTAGCACCGACACCCTTATTCCTCTCATTTCCCCAATTCTAAACAGACAGTAGTAGTCAACTTCTGTCTCTATGGATTTGCCTATTCTTGACATTTCATAGAAATGGAATCTTACAATATGTGGTCCTTCGTGACTGGCTTTTTTCACTTAGCATAGTGTTTTTTGAGGTTCATCCATGTTGTACCATGTATTAATACATCATTCATTTTTATTACTGCATTTTTTAAAAGAAGACTCCATTATTACCTCTGGAATTTTTCTTCAAATTTTACTGCCAGTACTTTTCTGATCTTACCAGCAGTTGTCAGGGAAGGATGTCAGCATATGGGACTCATGTCCCTTTCACAATTAGTTCTTGAGTAGTTTGTATACTGAAAGATCAAGGGTTGTCTGTATCCAGCTGACCCACCAGGAATGACACCCAAGTTCACACACAGTGGTTTCTGCCACCTGGATAACCGAAGCTATTCCCACCTCATCATCACTTGTAGGACACATGTGAATTTCAGATATATCGAAAGTACATGTTTTAGGAGTAATAAAGCATGGGATATATCTTTAGTATTTTCCTTAGATCAGTGTGAAGTAAGTTTACTCTGAGTTCTAGCAGACACAGAGACCTGGACACTCAGACCAGGAACTGAAGGAATAGTTGAAGTAATTAAGTCAAACACCAGAGCCAGAGCCTAAGTCCCCTCCAGGTGCATAGTTCTCTGTCCTTGGGCGTGGGAATCACCTAGAGAGGGCTTTTCAATATGAAGTCACAGGTCATGACTCTGAAGATCCTTTTCCAGTAGGGCTGGTGTCAAGCCAGAATCTTTATTCCCCCTCCCTACCTCCCTCCCTCCTTCCCTTCATTTTAGACTCTAATTCAGGACTGGGAACCACAGGTCTAGCTCATGCCTGAGAGGTCAGCCAGAGGCATCCTAGTCACCAACCAGGAGGCATTGTCATAGGGTGAGGTCAGTAGAGAATTCGGAGCATACAGATCTTGTTTCCAGTTCTGATACGGCCACTTAGGAACACTGTGATCCTCGGTAAATTACTAAGCCTCTCTGAGCCTCAATTTCATCCTCTGTAAAATGATAGCAGCCTAGAAAGGTGGTGGGCGTAACTGCGGAATCACATGAGAGTGCCTCATGTTCACACATGACACTTCTCCCAGTCCTAGCTGCCCTGGTTCTGGCTTTCTCCAGCTTGGATCATGACCTCCGCCCCTCAGTACCTATGACTTGAAATTTAATTTTTTGATTCTTTCCTAGTAGGCTCTTTCCCCTGTGGCAGCTCCTTTGATTCTGTGGTAGTCAGATAGTCACAGGAGTTCTCTGCTTTTACTCATCTGCTGTGGACACTCTTTCCAAAGACTGAACTGTCTTTAAAACTGTTCACTGAGACTTTGCTGGTTTTTCTAGCCTCTGAGAACTTAAGGGCAGTGGGGTTCCATCAAAATTATTCACCCCCTCCCCCAGGGCTTCCCTGTGTGTTTGCAGTTCCTGATGTCCCCACCACACATGCATACTATACATGCCAGTCTGTCTCGCATGATGTACATAGGGGTCCCAGGCAGAGAGAAAATTTGCAGTTGTCTGAGATGTGGCAGAACTGTCATATGAATGTGGAGTCACCAATGTAAATGTGTGA